TTGCTTCTTACTCTTCCTTCTTTTATAAATAGAGTCAAATCTAAAAAATTAATATGAGTATTCTGTATCTCCTCAGTGAATTTGAGACCATACGTATTAAGATTAATAAAAGACAAAAACTGCTCTAAAACCTTCCTTTCCCCCTTCCAGACAATTAAAACATCATCAATATATCTTCTCCATTGTACCAGGTTCGCACCAAATGGGTTATTCTGCCAAATATTCTGAAGTTCCCAATCTGCCACAAAAATATTGGCATAACTTGGTGCGAACCTGTTACCCATGGCTGTTCCACATATCTGAAGGTAATAAACCTCATCGAACCAAAAGAAATTATGGAACAGGATAAACCTTATAAGAGTCAAAATAAACGAAATTTGTTCTGTGTTCATATCAGGATCTTTCATTAAAATCCTATGGATGGCATCAATACCCTTCTCATGATCTATAACTGTGTACAAAGATGCCACATCCACAGTCGCCCAAAGGTAATTTTCATCCCTAATGATCTGAGCTGAATCTTTAACGTACGATCTTGTTTGTGTCACATATTTCTGAAGAAAAAAGTCGATATATTGGGAAATATTACTAGTCATAGAGCCAATCCCACTAATAATAGGTCTTCCCGGTGGAGATATAAGGCTCTTGTGTACCTTTGGCAGGTAGTAAAAGACAGCTGTCTTTGGGGACGAAATAAACAGATAATCAAATTCATCTTTATCTATGATCCCCTTCTTAAAACCTTCATCCAAAATCTCATATAACTTTTTTTTGAAATTACATGTAGGGTTGCTTTTCAGGATTTTATACGTATTAGAGTCCCCCAATATTCTTTGGGACTCTTTCATATAGTCATCTCTATTTAGGACCACAATACTCCCCCCTTTGTCGGCTTGTCTAATTACTAGCTCTCTATTATCTTTTAATGATTTAAGAGCTTGTTTCTTTCTCTTAGTTAAGTTCTCTTTTTTCTTATTAACAGAAATCCTTTCAAAATCGCTCATGATCATCTCACAAAAGACCGGGATATGGTCTCCCTTTTCCCAAGTGGGAAAAAACTTAGATTTATTCTTAAGACCCGAGTGGATTGTCTCTGGTGTCTGTTTTCCATCTATAGATATTATATCTTTACCAGGAATGTCTGAAATAGTTCTTAGGACAGGTATAACGTCTTTTTTCTTCTCGAAAAATCTTTTAATTGTTAATTTTCTTAAAAACTTTTGAGTGTCAATAAACAATTCAAATAAATTTGGATCAGCTTGTGGGGCAAATTTCAGCCCTTTACTTAGAACACTTAATTGTTCAGAATTCAAGGTCACTGTAGATAAGTTCAGAATGCCCTCACTTTTAGGTGTGCTATTTAATCGGACATTTCTCCCTCCTCTATTTCCCCTAGTCCTCCAGTGGCTCCCAGTAACTTCCTTTTCTTTGGTGGTGTCTGAATAGTCTGCAGGGGGGAAAATCTGTTCTTGTGAGTCCAAGCATTCTGTTTTCTTAAATAGTGGCCTTTTGGTCTGTTCTCTAAAAAAACTTCCTGTTGACTGGATTTATCTTCTATTCTCTTATTGACAGTGTTAGCGTATGTATCCTTTCTCCTAACTACTCTCTCTGTATCCTCATAAGTTACAGTTGTTCTTAGTCTTCTAGAGGTATTATTCGTACCGTAGTTTTTCTTTACTATTCTGGGTTCCCCAGAAGAAGTGTATGTCTCATAACCTTTTTTAAAAACCTGACTGTATTGCCGGGGTCTATTTTCCCTTATATTTCTATCCTGGGGACTCATAAATTTATGGTTCTTTTTCCACTTCCTTTGGATGCCTTTCTTATAATCCTCTTTATCTCGACTTAGTTTATTCTCTTTGGTATTTAAACCCTCAGTGAAACATAGCAGTTTCTCTGAAACTGCTATGTTTTCAGCTGCAGGGTTAAAACTAAAGGGACCTGGCACCCAGACCACTTCATTGAGCTGAAGTGATCTGGGTGTCTATAGTGGTCCTTTAAGTGTATGTGTATCTGCATGCACTGGCGTACATACCACAGTCGCAGGGTGCCCGTCATGTGTAGCGGCCCCGGCCCACGCAGAGTAAGAGTAATAATTTGAACATTTCACACAAAGGACTTTGCAAATTATAGGAGTTCCAAACTGCGTTAATATATTGCTCCCTCAACTAGTGTACAAATTCTCAGGATAACGTCAGGATGTTTCCAAGATTTACTATAGTCATTTAGTTCTCTAAGGCATGGCTTCCTCAGTGTCGGGATAGTGTATGATCCTAGCATGCAGACTTATGGTCTCCGCTATTAGTTTGTAGGTCACTCATTCAGACATGCACCAGTAAGTGCATACCTAATTAAATGTGTGATAAAAAATAAAATCAATAACTTACTTTGCTTTTTCCAGTGCTGAGGCTCCCTCAGTGCTGTTTATTTCTTTGCCACTCCTGACATCATGGAGGAGGCATGACACAGCTTGCAAAACCTGCAGTTCTCTTGTCTGCTACGTTTACAAACCCTCCTCTTCCGTCCAAATTTTATGTGACTGTCCAGTCACAGAATTCTCAGTGCAGCTCTATTTGCAAGGTAGGTACCTGCCCCTTGAGTTTCACTCCACTTAGGCAACCAGTTTTGTTACTTCCTGGTTTATTAGCCGACAGCTAGGTGGGTGTAACAAGGTTAATTTATAAAAGTTTAAAAATAAACACAAAGTCCTGCTGTGTAACCCACAATGTACCAACACACTCTAAACACCTGTGTGCTCACCTCTCTTTACACACAAAAATAGACTATACAGCCAAATAGTATAAAGACACTGTAAAAGACAAATAAACATGGCCGAAGCCTAGTGCAATACAGTTTGGTTTATGATAGACAAATATATGATTTTAGTGATGTAGTACTCACAAAGATGGAGCCAATATGAGAGGCTCACCACAAGTGCAGATGGGGCTGTTAGAAGGGACCCCACTCCCTTTTGATGCTTTAGGAGTCTTCTTGTTCGCCCAATAACTTCACTGAATGTAGGTTCCAATATCAGGAAATTCTTTATTAATGTGAAGCAAACAAAAGTATAACAATCAATAAAAAATAAAAAAATAAATACAAAGTCCTGCAACGCGTCTTGCAAGCTTTTACATATTATTTGGACTTTATCCATTAACCCTATTTTTACAATTTTTTTAAAAGTATTTATTCTTTTTTTTTTTTGCTTATTATACTTTTGTTAGCTTCACATCAATAAAGAATTTCCTGATATTAGAACCTACGTTCAGTGAAGTTATTGGGCGAACAAGAAGACTCCTAAAGCATCCAAAGGGAGTGGGGTCCCTTCTAACATCCCCATCTGCACTTGTGGTGAGCCTCTCATATTGGCTCCATCTTTGTGAGTACTACATCACTAGAATCATATATTTGTCTATCATAAACCAAACTGTATTGCACTAGGCTTCGGCCATGTTTATTTGTCTTTTACAGTGACAATATACCTGAAAACCAGCCACACTCCACCTAACTTCTATTTGTATGTATAATTTATAAAAGTGTCAATTTCTACTAAATTATACATTTTGTGTAAAATAAAAAAAAATATTAAGTGGTCACACTCTTCACACATAAAGCATTTCAACAAGCTAAAGTGTTTCAGGGATCTGGAGTGTCCCTTTATCGCTGTGACCTTGGATTAATGGTTGCTATATGGGTAACCGGTGTGACTGCAGGATGCAAGAAGGCAAGCAGAAACAGTAATAAGTTCTGATTTGTTACACAGTGAACACAGATAAAGCCAATTTCAAGCAATGCGTACTCCATTGGAAAATTAATGTCAGAAATACGCATATGGGATATATGGGATATAAATCCTGCCGGGTAGTAGATTGGACACAGCCGTGGAATGTTAATTGGTTAAATATCTATATGTAGTACCAGAAAGTATATTGTCGTGTCATGATGAAGTCACACTGCCATGCAGCACAGCAGGCCCAGGCTTCCAGTGTTGTGCTTTACAGTTGCCTCTACATTTTTCAATTTCTTCCAGTTTTGGTGCCAATATATTCTCTAGTTAGTGCTTTTAGTCCATCTTTCAATTAAATATTTATTTGGTTGTTGAAAAATACCACTCTATATATTCACACCAGATTTTATATTATTAAGTAGATTTTAAAATAATTTCTAACAATAGTAGAAAAAAAAGAGATCATGTGATATTAGAGACAATGAAGAAACCAGATGGGTGTAATATCCTTTGTCATGTGTGTAGTCATGTTGATAATGAGCAGGATGTTTATTATTATAATTATCATTTAAATAACTAACAAAATCAACAGAGAATGGCACTGCACAGCAGAACAGTAGGCTAGCTATATTTATCACAAAAAATATTATATAAATCTCAGTTTTTACTATATTCCCATGTATTCATTTATTCTGCCCAAGCGCTATCTATATTCAGAACAAAACAAAACTGAGAGCATTGCATACTTACTGCTAATCACAAACGTGATTATTTTGAGTTGAGCCAAGAAAGAATCTTCTGTGTCTCAGCTAGCTATGTCCCAGCTAGCTATGATGTATTTATTCAACCTTTTGTGAAGCACAAACTACTAAAAGTATAGGCATCTATGCATGGTGGCAGAAGATATTCGTGAAATGGCAGACAGAAGCTAATTTCAGCTTCACTTTGTCATATTTTACCAAAAATGTCTGCTACTGAAATATTTTTATGCTAGAATTTAAATAACAAAATTCTAGTGCAATATCTATCTATGGTTTTTTGAAAGATTCTATATCAGATGTTAAAGTGCCGTTGCCCGAATAAGATGCAAACTTTGGAGAATGAATCCTATGTGTTTTATTTTAATCTGTATTTCAAATATTCTTAATGCTTTATCCAAATATATATGAATTAAGGTATTAAGGCAGCCTGGAGTATCCTTTAAATTATAATCCAATTGTACCACTTTCCCACCCTGTCATTTGGTTGCTATCCCCTACACTGTCCTTCCTATTGTGTATTTATATCCCACCTCCTCTAAATTGTAAGCCTGTTTGAGCACGGTCGTCATCAACATATTGTTTTTGTAAAAATTTTTAATAGTTTTTCTCATTTGCTGTTAAATTTTCCCTTAATAATATTGTAAAGTCTTGTGGAATATTTTGGCGCCATATAAATCCCAATAATTTTATTTTTAAAAAAGAGACCATGATAGAATTCAGTGTGTGTCTGATTTACACTGCCAATGTGATCAGATACTGCTCTCAGGTCACTGTGTGCCAGAGCAATGCCATTCTGAAACAGGCTCTGTAATTTGTCACAGAATTCACAAATAATACAGGAGAAGAAACATGTATATTTCTCACACATATGTAATTGTGCATTCAACACAGTGCTGTATATGTGTCGGTTGCAGGGCCGGATTAAGAGCACACTGGGCCTGGTGCTGACAATTATGATGGGCCTAATTACGTAATTTTATCGACCAAAAACACTAAAACAGTCATACATCCCAAGCGTCATGTATCTGATGGAGATGGTGCTGGAGGGAAACTCATAGGATGCAGCTATAAGAAAAAACATACTCTATGCTTATCTCTCTCTAATTTATGCTTTCATCTTTCAAGTAAATCCATACCCCCTAACAGCAGTGTCCAGTGAAGCAGGAAGTCAATAGGCGGGGTAAAAGGGTGGGCCACTGGTGCGAATCACGTGACCAGACCTGCCAAAAGGGGTGAACATGCCCAAAAAGGGGGCATGTCTGTCCAAAGAATTTGAAGGACAGCCTGGCATGAATGCATGTCAGGCTGCCCGCCTATCCTGCAGGCTGTCCAACTAAGGGCATACTATGCAGGCAGCACCCTGAGCTTGACATACATGCATCTAATGATGCGCTCACTCCATGCTTTCTAAGGACTGTCCCCTAGCACTCGCTGGTCCACTTATCTCCTTACCTTCTTACTAGCAGGCAGAAGCTCCTGGTATATAATCTGGGACAGAGAAAAGATGTATGTAGTGAGTGTAGAAGAAAGGGGACATGCCACAGTGTTAGAGAGGCCAATGTCTGCATTACCTAAACTAATTTTATTGTCATCCAGTCCACACAAGTTTTGTTCCCATACATTCCTCTTAAGCTTACAAACTTAAAGGGACACTATAGTCACCAGAACAACTACAGCTTGTTGTATTTGTTCTGGTGAGAAGAATCATTCCGTTCAGGCCTTTTACAGTAAACACTGTCTTTTCAGAGAAAATAACTCCACTGACCACTCCTTAGATGGCTGCTAGAGGTGCTTCCTGGGGCAGTACTGCCTAGTGTGCAGCACTGCCATTCAGTGTCTCCACCCTCTGCATGCAGACACTGAACTTTCCTCATAGAGATGCATTGATTCAATTTATCTTTATGAGGAGATGCTGATTGGCCAGGGCTATGTTGGACTTGTGCTGGCTTTGCCCCTGATCTGCCTAGTTGACAGTCTCAGCCAATCCTATGGGGAAGTATTGTAATTTGCTCAGACCACCACTTCTGATGATGTCAGCAGACAGTCAGTTCAGAGGCAGAGCCAGCAGCTGCAGACTTGAATACAAGTTATATTTTACTATACTTAGGGAGGCAAGAAGGGGCCAGGGTGGTGGTTTTAACATAATAGGGTCAGAAATACATGATTGTGTTTCTGACCCTATAGTGCTCTTTTAAGCAAGAGTATGTGAAGAGTAGTTAGGGTTGCCACCTTTCTTGGAAAAAAATACCAGCCTTAATCATTTGTATAATCACAAGGAGTGACATCAGAGAAAATTCTGTAAAATCACCAACAAACTACTCACAGGTTGATTCTGCTGTATAGATGGATTGCTACCAGTGTCTCAGTCTCGCAAGTCACCCAATGTCTCAGTGTTCTATGTATCACAGTGTCAGTGTCCCCATGTCGCCCACTAGGACATGGGGACACAGACATTTAGGGAAACTGTGAGAAATGGGGACACTGAGACACTAGAGACACAGACACTGGGAGACATGGGGAAACAAACATTTGGGGACACTAAGACACTAGGGACACAGAGACATGGGGACACAGACACTGGGAGACTAGGAGACACTGGTTGGGAGACAGACACTTGGGGACACTGGGAGACATGGGACAGTTGTGGACATAGACATGGGGACACTGGGACATATAGGGACACTGGGCACACTGAGAGACATGGGACACAGACACTGGGAGACTTGGGGACACTGAGACTCTAGAAACACTGGATGGGGGACATGGGGACACTGGGAGAAATGTCTCCGTGTCCCAATGTCTCAGTGTCTCCCAATGTCCCTATGTCTCACAGCATCCCCATGTGTCCCAGTGTACCCTAGTGTCTGTGTCCCCATGTTTTCCAGTGTCCCCAAGTGTCAGTGTCCCCATGTTTTCCTGTGTCCCAGTGTTTCCAGGTCTCCCAGTGTCTGTGTCCCCTAGTGTCTTTGTCCCCATGTGTCTCCTAGTGTATGTGTCCCCATATGTCCCCTAGTGTCTCAGTGTTCCCTAGTGTCTCAGTGTCCCTGCTGCCTTTCCCCCCTATCCCTCACTTATCTGAGCTGTAGAGCTGACTCTCTGTGCTGTGTTGTTGCTCCCCCACGGATCAGTGAGTACCAGAGAGAGGCAGAGAGGGATATGCTGTAACTTTCTATCCCTGCCTCTCTTCACACACAGTGACCCCTACTGGCCGGCTGGTATTGCAGAGTAATCTCCATTTATACTGAGAAAAATACCTGTGTTTGTATTGCCGGTATTACTGCAATACCAGCATGGCCAGGCCTTAAATACCGGCTGTGCCAGTAAAATACCAGTCAGGTGGCAAACCTAAGAGTAGTGTGCCAGTAAATGGGCCTATGGTCGGTTGCACTTATACATGTCATCATCAGGAATACCCTGGTAATATGAGATATAAAAAGGCCCAATGTAAATACAATGTATTTATAAAATAAATAAAAATATAAATCAATCATCATAAATAAATATAAACCAAAATCCTGAATTCTTCCTCTGATTTTTTTGTTTCACCTTTTTCAATTGTTGGATATTTAATCATACTAAATATTTATACGTACTGTATATGTGTTAAGTGTAAAGAAAAGCCCTTACTGTACTATAAAAAATTATATATAATAGGCATGGGTGAAGGTAACTTTTGAGCTGACAATCTCTTGCACTTCAAAGCTGAATGTTAAAATATTGGTATTTTAGCCATTAATTGTATTAACAAAGTCTATAGACTTGAATATACATAAGCATCACATCATGGGAAATTTTTCTAAGAAAACTGAGGCTTCAGGTACAACCGGCTCTCGAGTTATGAGTGATATCATGTGGCTCCCAGAGAGAAATACCTGATCCAAGATGGCGCCACAAAATGGGATCCTTCAGTTGCTTGTCTTTCTCAATATAATCTTTCCCACAGAAGTGTACATGCACAACTCATTAGACAACAAACGGTTTCCAGCATCAAAAGCTGATATCATTGCTTTTCAACCCGACTTCAGGGCCCTTTATCTTTTCCTTGAGGTAGACCAAGAAGATGTGAGTGCAATTAGAGGCTGTTTTCCTGGCACTATAGGGTCTTTAGGTCCCCCCCACCCTCAGGGTCCCACTCCCGCTGGGCTGAAGGGGGAGGAAGGGGTTAATCACCTACCTTTCTTCGGCGCTGGGGAAATCTCCTCCCTCTTCCGACGTCAGTGCTGAATGCGCATGCGTGGCAAGAGCCGCACACGCATTCAATCAGTCCATAGGAAATCATTTCCTATGGACGTCAGCGTCTTTTCACTGTGATTTTCAGTGCCTCTAGCGGCTGTCAGTGAGATAGAGGCTGTATTAACCCTAATGTAAACATATGTTTACAGCTGCAGGTTTAACCCTAGATGGATCTGGCACCCAGACCACTTCATTGAGCTGAAGTGGTCTGGGTGCCTATAGTGGTCCTTTAACTATGATGTACAAGGCCTTTTAACTAGCACTTCTAACAGAGACTGCTATCCTACAACTACAGCAAGCTCAAAAAAAAATGATGGCTGCATAACTCAATACTCAGTCTAGAGGATAGGTCTAGACATGGTAACATACAGATCAGGGGATTTCCAGAAGATGTAGGTTCAAACAAGTTATTCAAAAGATTACAGGAAAAGGGCTGCGCCAGGAGATAAATAGTAAAAATAGTAATACTAATACTTAGGTACAATACTTTGTATAAGCAAGTAGGACAATACAGTGTGTTTGGTCTCACTAAAGCAGTAGGACTAGAATTCTAGTAATATCACCGAAAATAAAGTCCAGAAATATTTAAGTCTCACTCAGAGGTAAATGTCTTTACAAGGTGCTTATTTTGGGTGTAGTGTCCTCAATGTCTTTAGTAGGTAAAATATACAGGCCAGTATAGGTAAAATAAGCAGATATATGCAGTCAACTCACATTTAAAAATGTGCAAGTTGTCTACATGCCATGTTTATGTAATACCCAATGCAAACCGCGCTTGTGAAAGCTATTGTGTCTATACAAGCACTGCTGTAATCTCATGCACACCAAAAAAAAAAACATTTAAAAAAAAAAAAAAGAGCCTGAGCCAGCTCTGGTGTGGCGTGCATACAGCGGTATAATTCCCAGCTTTAAAGGATATGCGATGAGAGTCCTCCAGAAGGATGGTGTCCAACTCTCAGGAGAGGAATATAAAAAAAAAACAGCTAATAGTGCACTCAGTAGAATAAAATATGCAATAAACATAAATAGAAATGTGCTCACAAGTGAAGTGCAGGCCAACTGCACTGTGATGTCCGCGTTGGTGGTATGATCCCCACCTTTGATATACTTGGAGTCACATGAGGGTAGAAGGAAGCAAGGTAAAAAATTCTAAGTATAAAAATGTGTATTAAAAATTGGCACAAAACTGTAACCAAAAAGTATTTTATTGAAATAAAATACACAATCAAAATCACCATATCGCCACTAGGAATTTTTCAAATGGGATAGGATTTAGCCAAATGTACATGTGATCAAAACAAAACATAAACAAAACCTGGAATTTGACTATATGTCTGTTCCACCGTAATTTACCTCTTTCGTATCAAGTGCACCCACACCTATTATATGTCATTCAGGGGAAACAGGGCTTTCATTTAACATCATATATATATATATATATGAAACATAATTTAATATGAATAAAATATAAAAACAATGGGAGAAAATAAGAAATGTTATTTTTTTAGTTCTACATGACAATTTAACTGTGAATGTCATAATACTGTTTGCTTTTACAGCAATAAAATACACATATTTATGTCTGAATAAAAATTGTTAAATTTAAAAAAAAAATACACATATTTGTATTCAGCGATGTCTCACGTGTAAAATAGTACCCCCTATGTAGAGGTTTTATGGTGTTTTGGGAAATTACAGGGTCAAATCTAGCATGTTACATTTTTCATTTTTTTCACATTGAAATTCGCCAGATTGATTACGTTGCATTTGAGACCGTATGGTAGCCCAGGAATGAGAAATACCCCCATGATGGCATACTATTTGCAATAGAAGACAACCCAAGGTATTGCAAATGGGGTATGTCCAGTCTTTTTTTAGTAGCCACTTAGTCACAAACACTAGCCAAAATTAGCGTTATGATTTGTTTGTGTGTGAAAAATGCAAAAAACTAATTTGAACGACAATTTTGGCCAGTCTTTTATATATTTGGGAGTCTAGGCCAACTCCTTGGTTTTGCACCCCTCCCTGTCACAGGTGCCTCATTCCAGGACCTTATTTAGCC